AGTAGTTATTGAGATATATGAGATTAAAGATCTAAATATACAGTAGTCTTACAGTAGTCTAGAAAAGAAATCTAGAACAGTCCGATGGATAATTGCTACCAAATAAGATGTGATCTGCAATAACCAAATATAGTATATTCCCTGACTGCATTATCATAATCTCTTTGATTGGCTATTTAGTAACTTGGTTTAGAAAAAGAATACGTATATACTGAAGCACTATTATAATCTCTTTGAATTTTATTTAGAGAAAATGGACATAGATGAAAATAGTAAATTGAGAGTTCTATTTTGATTCTAAGATAATTACTTTAAGATTTTTTTTTTAAAAAAAGATGGTATATAGATACAAATGACAAATTTTATGAAGATTTTTTATTACCTTTGATATTTTTTGAGGGTTATACTCAAACATTTCAACATCTTGCTGAAGTGTTAAATAATGTTGGTCGATCTACTATTATTAGAAAAAGTGAAGATTTTAATGTTTCACCATATGATTAATATCATTATTATGAAAAACATTATTCTGCTAATAGTAGTATTCATTCACCATTACTGCAAAAAGCTTTACCAAATTTAATATCTTATTCATCTCAACTCTATAATTTTAATAGAAGCTATACAACCTTAAACTATGCAAACTCAAATAATACAAACTCAAATAATGCAAACTCAAATAATACAAACTCAAATAATACAAACTCAAATAATGCAAACTCAAATAATACAAATTCAAATAATAGCATTATCTTAGAATCCAATAATCAAATTAAAGTAGAAGATATATTTGATTCTTGGGAAATTGCTAAGACACATATCAATTATTATGCAAGGTATAATGAATTTTCTTTGTAGTAAAAATAAGTTGAGCATGATATTGAAGAAATTGTACAACAAAGAATATTTGAATATAGTTTTTCAAGTAACGCAATCTCTAATAAAGTTATTGATCTAATACAGAAACATCAAAGACCATCAAAAAAGGTTAATTGTTCATAGCATATAAACCTTACCAAACCAAAATTAACAGCTGAAGTTGGTATTACAAGTATTTTAGAACAACATAATCACCCTATATTATGTGATGTAGATTTGTTTACTCCTAAATACTGAAGATTGTCTGACAATGCAATAGAACATATTAAATTTTATGCTACTACAGAAAATATAAGAGCTAAACAAATTTATTCTTTGTTAGTTGCTAAATTTCTGGAGCAAGTTATATTAAAGCAAGACCTTTATAATGGTATAAAAAAATTTAAATTACCTTTTACCAACCGTTACAGATATACACAAAATATGATGAATAAGTTATTGGAGATAAATAACAATGATTATAGTTGGATAATTAATATTAACTTGATCTATATGATAATCAATTAGTTAGATTATTTTGGATGTTTCCTAGCCAATATTGGTTCCTTTTAAGATACAATAATGTGGTTCAAACAGACAATACTTGCTAAACCAACTAGTTCAATATGTATTTAACTCTTTATGTAGTTGTAGACAATAACACAAAAAGTCGATTAGTTGCACAATGTCTGTCTGAAGATGAAACAACTGAAAGTTATGAATGGTTCTTAGAATGTATTCTTTAGGTAACTAAAAATAATTCCTCTACCTGTCTGTTTTAGATGCAGACCACACTAGAACCCCGAAGAACTTTGATATAACTCAGATCCAGATTTAAAATTTTAATATAACTTTATACACTTAATTTTAGTAAAAGCTTTATACAAAATTTCATATAAATTTAAATTTTACTATAAATTATACAATTTTAGATCTGTGTTTATATAAAATAAATTTTTTTTACTAATAAAAATTGTAGAGAAGTGTCTTGCGATCAAAATGGCAGTTAAACCATTAAAATTGGCCTAGTAGATCGCGAGATATAAGTATTTTTGTCTTCACGATTATATGTTTTTTTCTTTATATAAATAAAGAAGAAAACATGTAATCGCGAAGACAAAAATACTCATATCTCATGATCTACTGGGCCAATTTTAATGTTTTAACACTATTTTGATCGCAAGACAAAGTTCTATGACTTTACTTAGAAGCTTAAAAAAAACTTACTAAGAATACTAAGAAAATATTTAAAATCACAATATTTTATATAATTTTATTTATAAAATTATGGAAAATATTAAATCTACAAAATTATACTAATTAAACCTACCTTAACGTTCTAAGTAAACTTGTTTTACACATAAATGTACACCATATTGGTATACGTTTAATAGGCAATTCTCCAGTCAACTGAACAAAAATTTTTTTTTATATATAAAATTTACTATAAGTGCGAATACACTGAGCCTGTATCTAAACCTTTTTTTTATACTAAGTAAATCACTCTTCGGCTTCTAATAAAAGTTGCAGAGCTCATCAAAATGTACTTAATACTAAAAGGATATTGAAATTGGTCTAGTAGTTCTTGAAAAATCTTTAAAAAACTTCTTTTTCACATATAAAATTTCTTTAAAAAAAATTGATTTTTTTTAAAAAAATTTTATATGTAAAAAAGGAGTTTTTTAAAGATTTCTCAAAAACTACCAGGCCAATTTTAATATTCTTTCAGTATTAAGTATATTTTGATAAGCTCTACAACTTTTGTTAGAAGCCAAAGAGTGATTGATTTACTTAGTATAAAAAAAGTTTAGATACAGGCTCAGTACATTCGCACTTATAGTAAAATTTATATATAAAAAAAAAATTTTTGTCAAGTTGATTGGAGAATTGTCTATTAACTTATAATTTTAAATTTTAAGAAAAAAGATGCTTAATTTTGAATTTTTAATCAAAAATTTCAAAATTAATTATTTTTCTCTTAAACTTTAAAATTATGAGTTAAACGTATACTAATATGATGTACTTTTATATGTAGAACAAGTTTACTTAGAATATTAAGGTAGGTTTAATTAGTATAGTTTTGTGAATTTTAATATTTTCTATAATTTTATTAATAAAATTATATAAAATATTGTAATTTTAAATATTTTCTTAGCAAGTTTTTTTTAAGCTTCTAAGTAAAGTCGTAGAACTTTGTCTTGCAATCAAAATGGTAGTTTAAATATTAAAATCGGCTTAGTAGATCGTGAGATATAAGTATTTTTGTCTTTGCAATTATATGTTTTCTTCTTTATTACCACAATTAATAAGCTCATTTAAAGTTGTGCTCACTAGATTTGCTTTTTTTTGCTTTTGTGCTTCTGTTTATGTTTACTCCTGCATAATTCTATTCCGTTTTAATAAAAAATTACTAAAAAAGTTTATTTATAGTTTCACAAATTTTATTGCATTATAGACTATACTCTAGATCTCATGCTAATACTTATACTCTTGCTTATGTTCATGCTCTTGCTCTTGCTCATGCTCTTGCAGTGCTATGCTAATCTGCTATTTTGCTCTTCTTACATTATATCCTTTTCTCTCTTTTCTGCTATTTTCTCGCAAAAAACTCTTTGTTATAGTATGAGCTCTATTATACTTCTTGAGATTTTTGTATTTTTTGCTTTTTTCTTTTCAGATTTTTTTTGCCCAAATGATTTGATAATCATAAGATTAAATCTTTTCTTTGATCTTTATATTTCACTAAACCAATCATTTATTCTTATATATTTTACTTTAATAATATACCTTTATTTATGTTATATATTCTATTTTTGTATATTTATTTACTTATTATTATAATCGTTATTTATACTTTGTCTTTTATTTTTATTTTAACAATACAACACAATAATCATATGTTTACTATTAATTTAAAAAATATATGTTTGTTACTTTATTTATCTCATACTCTACTAGCCTTCTATTTACTATTTCATCATGCTTACCTTCCTGTTTTTATTTTTACTTATAAAATTCCTTGTGTATGTACACATGTACATTATACTCTTATTTTACCGCTTTCGCCTTAATTCACTTATTCAACATCGCACTATGTAACAATTTACTAAAAGTATATTCCAGCAACTAATTTATCACTAAACCTAACTCTATGTGATGTTGGCTATGAGAACTTTCAGTGAAATGATTGTTGGTGAAATGAATAGCACCAAATTTAATAAATAACAAGTAATACAGACTTCCAAAATGAAATTACCTGACCAGAGAGTATAAAATTTGACTATTCTGAATTTTACTATCTTAGAACCTGAACATATTCTAAAAGAGAAAAAAAACCTCTCAGAAAACACTAGCTAAAAGTTGGGTCAATCTTTCTCAATAATTAAAATATCATAAATGAAATTTTATATATAGTAAGCACTAATACCTCTGTAGTCTTTAATGCTATCGCTCTAACCTAGCCTCCTATACTTCTATTTTCTTTATTTAGTTTATTTACTGAATTTCTTTTCTTTTTTGAGATATGTTACTCATGAAAATAAAATCCATATCCATATGTCACATATCTAAACAAGATTTTTAACTATATGTTGCTTCATATAACAATCTTTTTATCGAATTGACCTTCAACTTTTAGAACCATTATATTATGCTCATTAATTATTTATCTAATTCTCTATGAAACTTCTATTTACTATCTCATCATACTTACCTTCCTGTTTTTATTTTTAGCGTTATTTTAGCAAGTAATATAGACCCCAAAAAGAAATTGTCTAACCAAAGAGCATAAAATTTAATTATTCTGAATTTTCATATAATAAAAATTTAAACACTTTTAATAGAAGAAAAAATATAAAAAAAAATAGTTAAATCATTCTTTATTATTAATTAAAATGTTATGGATGAAGTTTTTCATATAATGAACACCATTATCACTATAATCTCTAATGTTATCATTCTAACCCTAATCTTCTAAACTTCTATTTCTCCGCTTTTAGTTTATTTACATACTTTCTTACCTTTTTTAGCCTGTATTACTCGATTAAAATTTTTATCCGTATTTTCACATATCTAAATAAGATTTTCTCTTATATATTGCTCCATATATCAATCTTTTTATCGAATTAAGTCAGCTTTAGAACCGTTTAATAATCTAATGCATTTAATTTTAAACTTGCAAACAGACCAGTTTTTTTCTTGTACTTATATCTTTTGCATTATTGTACTTCATATTAGAATTATTAGAAACTATTATACTTGAAATTAATACTTGACTGAAGTTGCTAAATCAAATTTGAAGTTACACTTGCTTATAATTCATACTAACGTGTGCAAGATGATCTAAATTTACTGGCTAATTTCGATACAATAAAAAATAATAAAAAATAGTTATTTAAATTAGTTAACAAGTATAATAAATAAATGTTATAGCTGCATCAAATTAAATACTTTATACATCTGAATTTATTATTCTAAAATTTATAACATTATATGTGTCAAATTTTGCTATTTAAGATATTCGAATACTAACTTACTGTAGAATGTCCTAGCATATTCAATCACGTAAAATACAATAAATTTATTGTTGTTTATATGTAAATCACGTGTTATATATTTAATATTATAACAGAATTATATACTATGTATATAATTTAAATGCTGATTAGTTATATAAATACAAATAGAATTTTCCACTCATAAATAAATAACTATCTCTACCAAAATTTTTCACCCCTAAGTTGTACTAGATCTCATTCATATTATTACCTATTAAATATAATCAAAATGTGTTACGAAAAAATATAGTATCTATTATCACTATTCCATACCAAATTAACCTTTAAAGTTTCATTTTACTTACATACAAGTTAATTAAGCAAGATATAGAACAGCCACTTTTTTTATCTAAACTTCTCATTATAATATTTGTTTGTTATTCTCATGCAAGTACTTAAATATTCGAACCTGTACTATTTAATTACCGATGTTGTAAACATCTAGTTAACACTAATTATCACAAGCTTTATGTTACCCTTTTGGGTTGCTAATTCGCTAATTGTCGAGCATTACTTCTTAACAAAGCAAGGGTCTTTATTACTCTTGATCCAGTTTCTGAAATTACATAATACAATTACCATAATTCTTATAAACACAATTAAACAGGTCATGAAATAAATGCTTTTTTTTATCTAAGCTCTTCATTATAATTTTTGTTTATCATTCTCGTGCTAGTACATAGCTTTTCAAAACCCAAGCCATTCGATTTCTACAATTATCAGAAATTTGTAACTATCCAGATAATACTAATTATTGCGAATATAATGTTATCTCTTTTGCTTTACTGCCTCATTAATTACTACTATCTCCCAATAAAGTAAAGATCATTACCCTTGATCCGGTTTTCAAGATTACTAACACGATTATTATTATTCTTATCAACTTAATATAATTAAACAAATCATAAAACGATTGCTTTTTTTTACTTAAGTTTTTATATAATTTTATTTATCAATTTCATACTAATACTTAAAACATTCAAACCTGTGCTGTTTAATTGCCCTATATATCAAAAAACTGTATACATCCAAATAGTGCTAATTATCACTAATTTTATATTAACTCATTTAGTTCGCTGCGTGCTCATTATCTCCAGATTCATAAAATTGCACAATATGATTATTATTGTCACTAAAAATGACAAATTTCATAAAATTCTTTTAAAGAAATAAACCACATGCAATATCTAATTTAAGAAATTGAACCATTGAACTTATTATTTTCATAATGACATCATTTTATTCAACAAATTCACCTGATTGTTTAATATCTCTTTTCGAAAAAAATTTTATTGTTTTTATAATCGGGTGTTATGTTTATGAAGAAAATACAGAATATGTAATAAAATATTACTATTACTTTCTATCATTAAAATCATCCACAAAAGCTAACTAACTAGCTAATCTTTATTCTTTAAATCTCTTTAGTCCAAACTATACCCATATCATCTTCTGATAATAAAGATATTCTGACTCCTCCTGATCTTCCTCGTTCATCACCTTACTTCTCTTTTCTGCACTTGTCATACAAGGTTCTTATCATCCTGACAATGGCAGAGGAAGAGAAAGTTTCATGCTCTCAAAACGCTTATACAATGGCGTTACCAATAGCAAGCATGTTTCTTCTAATGTCTTCGTCTCGTATTCAAACGAAAGTAAACAGTACAATGCTTTAAAAAATAATCTGCAAAAAACAGTTTTATCAGTCATAGAAAGATTAAAAATTAGATTATCCTGAATTCCACATATCATTGATTCTGATATTGATTTGGATCTATTTAGGTAGCGAACCACAGTATTCAGGTTAGTACTTAAAATCTATATTAGCAATTTGCAGTACACGGATTGAAAATTCATTCTGTAAACAAACCTTTTTTCGAGTATACAGATTTTATCATGTGCCAAAATATCATACTTCTATTTCTAAATTTTATTATATTTACAAACTTAATTAAACTTTCTATATATTGAGCAAATTGAATATTAAATATTAATTCAGGCACTTCAAGCAAAGACAAATTAAAATCTCGCGAAGAATTTGATAACCAGTTAGATAGCATTGAAGAGAAGTATACTACTCTCTTCTCCCAATCTCCTCAAAAAAAGCCAAAGCTCGCTTCATATCAATTGTTTGGCAAAAAAGCATCAAATGAAAAACCGACCTCTGTTAATTTTATAGATGCGATTTCTCAAATTCTTGGTAATGAACACCACTTAGAACCTACCAATGTAGACCCTAATTCCAAAAACACAGAAAACATGATTATTCCGTCTAATCCCGATATCCAATATACTTCTCTTTCAAATATTGAGAAAGACACTGATATTATACCTATTGATAATATTGAATCTATTACAACTACTTATGGCAATCCATCTGCTTCTCAATGTAAAGGCACTAAACAATCAAGAAAACGTTCAAAATCTACAAAAAAATAGAATTCATATACTATCATATATCACCTTTTCACTATTTTCTTTTAAAAAAATTTTACATATTCTAATAAATAACATCTTTTTGGATTAAGCTACTTCCTAAAAATGATTATATATTAATATAAATTGACTTTTACTACTGTATTTTCAAATAATTATAGAATGTCTCTCAATAATAATTTTTTTATTCCACTGTATTGCAGGCTTTAACTAAATGCTTATTCCAATATCTTCATAATGTATTTGCTGCAAATTTATTATCCCATCCAAAAACCAGTGCATAGTAATTTAAAATACGTCACGTGATTTTACTTTACAAATTTGTAACTAATCAGTTTGAAACTATATCTCTTACCTCAAAATATATATAAAAAAATTTAAGAAATAATTTTATCATTATTAAATGTAATTGACCAATTTTAATATCAACGTATGTGTCAATGCTTTTCTCCAAATTACAATAAACCTATTTTTAAAAATACAATCATATGCTAGTGTAATAAATTAAAAGATATCTTTCTTATATTGATTTCTCCATGATAATTTATAAGAAGATATCTTTTTTATATTGATTTTCCTATGATAATTAATAAAACCAAATTCACTTGTCTCAAAACTAAAAATTGAATAAATAATTCTCATTATCCTTAACCAAAATAATCATTATTTATCTAATAATAAATAAATAAATAAATAAATAAATATAGCATCAGTACTTATTCCAATGTTTAGTATTACTATACATAATTGCTTCTCATAATTATTTTAATAAACAATTCTTATACTCAAGCTATACTCTAATATTTATTCAAATTTTATTACTTAGCATTATATAAATAAAGTTTATATAGACCCTCACAAAATTTCTTCATAGCCCTTTAAATGAGATCCAAGCAATAACATTTTAAAGTACTTAAACTCTATTAATTTCCAAATCTAAAAAAATTTACAATGTCCAATTATAATATTCAACGCTTGCATCTTACCTCTTTTACTGAAATAATACATGAATTCGATAATGCTACAGTTATTTCTTCTTTAGATACCATCTTTAATTCCTATACTCAAAGAAATAAAATTAATCAAAACTTATCAAATGCTTCTATATCTAATAGCTCTGCAACTGTTCCTGCACATAGTGAACCCCTTAATCTTTCATACTGACACTTAACTTCTGCCATTCAGTCTCTTGTAGACAAATTTTAGTCCAAAATTTTACTCGATTATCCTCGCATCCCTTGTGCTTACTGCTCAATGCTCATGATGTCTTTTTCAGTCAAATGGTTAACTTATAATGAAGATGCTTTGTATACCTTACCTCAAGCTTTTTCAATTCCTATATATACTCGAGTAAACAATAGAAATATTGTTAAAGTTGCTGTTTGTAGTGGGTGCAAAAGTGAAAAACTCGCAGATACCCACCAATACTCTCTCAAATTCCATCTCAGATATATGACGTTTCTATAGTTCATAGAAAATATCTTTCTCCTATTTTCATGAACTGTTCTTTAGGCAGAGCCGCTAGTACAAACTGCTACACCAACTATTGCTATCTGAATAGAACTATCGGATTAACTCACAACTACAGAACTCTCTACTTATACTCTGGACTAATTGGTGCTTATTTAAATGTGTACAAACCTTCAGCAGAGACAGTGCCCCCTATGTAGATTTTCGTTTAATGTTACACAACTTACAAAATTTTTTTTATATTTATTTAAAGTACTTTCGAATATCTTGTATTACTCGCTTTCATAATAAGCTAAGCGCCAATAGTTTATTAAGTAAACTTGGAGCCTTCATAATGTAGAAGCATATATTAGTTTA